GATTGTTGGAGTTTTTTTCTTTATGTATTATTGTAGGGTCTACCTTACAATATAAAATGCCTTGAGGTGACTGTTGTTGTGATTTGGAGCTGTATAAATTAAAAAAAAATCAACAACAACACACATAGGCTTGCAAATTTAAAAGCAGTGTGACTGACATGCCGATGTTATTGCCACAAAACAATCAATCCACAAAAAATGTATAGAGAAACTCCACTAAATATTGAGGGCTGTTTCCCAGCCAGTACAGATCCGCACATCAGGGACACACATGTAGACATTAATGCTTCACATCACCACAGAGAGGACCTAGAAATAAAGGGAGAGAAATAAACACAGAATTCCCCCAGGCTAGTCGACAAGTCAAGGAGAGAGATCCGAGGGAGAGAATCACAAGGAGAGTGCTTTCAATAACGGAGGTTTCCATCATTCAGAAGTCTGGTATAATCACTCCATCCAAAGTGACTCCAGTTCAGAGCTTCCCTAAACCTGCACTCTTTTAATAATCCGCAGGGAGCAGATCCTCTGGCTTCTAGAAGAACTTCAGTTGTATAAAATTCAGATACCTTAACCTATGACTCAGGCAAACACTTTCCTGATGTATCTGTGATCTTTATTGTTAGTCTGAAGTCTTATTGGTTAAAACATAATATTAATTTAGTACATTTTTCAACTTGATCAACGTCATGAGTTAAATGCTGTCTCATTTTCAGTTTATGGAAGACCTAAAGCAATTTAATGGACTATACATCATTAGTAGTGTCATATAGCAATCACTCCATATCCAATATAATAGTAATATAATAGTGAGATATGGGAATATACTTTTCTTTGAACATTTCTCTGAATATGAGCAGTATTTGGGAAAAACACAATCAGTCACTGGGTAAATAAATGTATGTGGTGCCATTGCAAATAATTTGGTGAGTTCTCTTGTATACTTGAAAGGGGAGAATTTTCTTATCATTAATAACTTGATTTCCATGAAAAGCAATTAAGAATTTCATCACAATGGTTACTTTAGCAGCAGGAGCAGGTTTAAATAGTGAATTTTAACATTGAGAAATAACTCAATGTTAGTGCAGATAAAAGAATTCAATCAACCTGAAAGTGTGCGATATAACAAGCCTGCTGCTTTGTTTTCTCTTTCATACAGTTGGGTCCATAAATAGTTGGACAGTGAACTTTTTGAACTTTTTTTTAATCTTGGTTCTGTACATTAGCACTATGAATTTTAAATGAAACAACTCAGATGCAGATGAAGTGAAGACTTTAAGCTTTAATTTAGTAGGTTGAACTAAAAAAAAGAGGAACTCCTAAACCCTTCCTCCAATTTGAATGTGGGCGATCGTGGCTCAAGAGTTGGCAGTTTGTCTTGTAATCGGAAGGTTCCCAGTTCGAGCTCGGGATCGGACAGTCTCAGGTGTTGTGTCTTTGGGCAAGATACTTCACCCGTTACCTACTGGTGGTGGTCAGAGGGCCCGGTGGCGCCAGTGTCCGGCAGCCTCACCCCTGTCAGTGCGCCCCAGGGTGGCTGTGGCTACAATGTAGCTTGCAATCACCAGTGTGTGAATGGGTGAAAGACTGAATGCAGTGTGAAGCGCTTTGGAGTCCTTAGGGACTAAGTAAAGCGCTATACAAGTACAGGCCGTTTACCATATCCTCAAATGAAAGCTCGCATTTTACACATTATATCCAAGTCCGTTATATACGTGTATGTGTCAGTAAACAGGTAAAAAACTACACTTGTACACTGTATTTACTTAATGAGAGATGCAGACATATAATACACTGGATAATCAGCTAAGTAGTACTGGTTAATTTATTTCTTTATTTTGGTATTATTTTATCTTCTCAGTCTTTTGTGGTTCATGAATATTTTCAAGGAGCTGTGACCTTTAACATGTTCTGTTTTGGATTATTAAATACCAATTAGGTAGAACTTGGACTGAAAATAATTTTTACTGCTTCACTGATTCTGTCTGGATCTAAATTCCACCTCTTCTCACTGCTCTGTTGTTCTAAAGCAGCCTCTCTCACACACATATAACTGTGTTCTCTGTTCTTCAAAGACACCTCTGGAGGTAGCCTGAGGGAAGGCTCTTTTATGCTTTAAGCCATCAATTGACCAATCAAGGATTGCCCAAGAAAAGTGACAGTTGCCACGGGGACAGAAGAGAGTACACAGAGCAAACTATTTTTAATGACAGCACTTTTACTATAAAGGTACCTGAATAAGTCTAAAAAACACTTTGTAGTCTGGCCAGAAGTTGACGGGGCCCAGAACAGCATATACACATTACATGCAATAATTAGCCTGAATAACTAAAGGAAGGCGTGCATGTTATCCTTTTTTTAACTGCTAGGTGGTCTCTATTACATCTCTGACAAGCCATCATCAAGACCGATGCGACATCTGAAGTCTTCTGCACTCCTGACCCTTTCATCAAGGAATTACATTTGGAACATCAAAGATGCAAAAATGACATCATGAAACATGAAGAGAGGCAGAAATTCCTTTTTCCCTTCCATCAATCTGCTTGCTGTTCATAAATGTCAGCCTTAGGGAAATTGAATGGCACCATTTTTCTGTGTTTATTAGGCTGGGATGAACTCAGTCTCATCGACCTTTCAGAGGACATACCCACACCAAGTTAATTGAAGATAAGTCAAACTTGGAGTTCCAATGGCTGGCAGAGTCTGAGCGCTAAGATCCCCGAGGATACATTGCCTCGATTAAAAGAAAAGAAGAAGAAGAAGAGATGAAGACAGGAAGTTCATTGCAAGATAGGCTTGAGTCCACTGGGAGAATGTCAATTTTTTATTACTTAAATGCCCCGTCTTAAATGCCAAAGTAGTATAATCCCACAAGTCATTACTGATTTGTGGCGAGTTGCTCTCAATAGTGATTTGGGGCTGTTTGTTTGAGCACATTCATTATTTCAAACCAGACTCTGATCTCAAACGGAAATTAAGAACTATATTTACTAAAGAATCAGTAAAATGTAATGTTGTCTGAATAAATTATTTTATTTTTGCTTTGATTTGTTGTGTTATTGATTTTAGGAAAAAAAAAGATTAAAAAAAGATATATTAATTATCTTATATATATATTATTTATCAGGGCTTTGATAATCTTGTCAAAAGAGTGACATCTAGCTGCTTTAATGCCACCATTAAGTTAAGCTAATTAGTGCTAAAATTCCCAATGAAATCAAGCCTAGCGTGTTAGTTCATCCTTTCCAATTAGAATAAAAACTTCACATCAAAAGCAGATCTCACAAGCACGTACCATTAGAATTTTTATAGAAACCATTTAAAACCAACCATTTTCAACCTGCTAAAAAAAAGAACAGAAAAACATCATTGCAGGCTGAATTTAGCCAACCACTGCAACTGGAAAAACCCATATGGAAGCTTAAGGCTTAGACTTGGTTTCCACAAGTAATCCTTTAAAAAAGTTAAAAAACAACAACAACAACAACAACACAGCTGGAGACAAAGTATAGATTAAACTACTTAAAAATTTAGAAAACTTGCATTCAAATCATGATTCCATCTCTCTCCCGCAGCAAACACCAGTATACTGTGCTTTCAAGAGCTCTAGCTACTGGCACTGACCTTAAATTCTACTTGCATTTCTACCCACCAACAAGCAGAGCTGCCTGCATCACCTTTAAATTCTCCTTAGCCTCCATAATCCTACATTTGTTACATTATGTTATTTAGCAATCAATTTGTTATGAAAGTTCAGGAAATTCCTCCTTCACATTATTTTTCCACCCCCAGGAGTGGTTACAGCTACTTCTAGGGACACATTTAATGTGATAGTCTGACAAAAAGGCTCTCATTCCAAGTGATGTCCCCACCAGACACCATTTTCCACCTCCCCACCCAGCCTCTGTCAATATACATCACAAAGACTACTCTTGTTTAGTGTAGCTGCTGTGATTAAAGTGAAGGCTAAGAAAAAACACAGTATGTTCTTAGAATAGCTGTATCATACTTCGGGCTGTTTCACCCACAACACAGATAATCTAAAAAATATGTCTATGTAGGCTATGAGTTTTGCTATTTTGATCCCTCTGACAGCATTTAATAATGCTGTCAGAGGGATCTATATCATATATATGCCACAAATGTCTGAAATCTGTCCTACATGTGCTTTATTTAAACGGCAGTGGCTGTGAAGGCGTAAAAAAGTTGCCTAGACCAAGACATCCATTTTCGTTTAAGCCAAACTGGGTTCCAAACCACAAATAAACAAGGCACTGCAAAATTCATGAATAAAAGGCTCCATCAATATTTCAGTCATGGCTTCATGTAACTAAATTAAGTACCCAGCTGTCTGTTTAGCGCGCACCCCTTGTCTCCACACTGGCTCCGTGCTCTCGGTGCGTCCTTGGACTTCCTAATGTCATGGTACACAATGGCACAGGAGGTTGTAATTCAAATTGGGGTCAGGGGACCCGGGGCACTAAGTGAACATTAAACCGCCTCCCATCCGGTTGGCCTCTGCCCCAAATTAAAATGAGCCATTTCTTCTTTTTACTTCACTTACGTTGCGTACGAAAAAAGGGGGTTCATAGTAAGGAATCCGGTAATAATACGTTCCATTATGAATGTTTGACTTTCTCTGAGCAGAATAAACAGACAATAACAAGATGTTCGTGACCCTGAGCCACCCCCACCCCCTGCACGAAGCCATTAAAAAGTCCCGATGCTTCAACAAAGCCCGGAGCCTTTAAACATCCACGGCGCCTCCAGGTGGACCACCTGGGTGCATAAAAACCACACCGTGCCTCTTCTCCCTGAGAGGCGCGCAGTGTGCGTCTGCAGCAGCCGCAGCAGCAGCCTACTGCGAGAACAATAACTTGTTTTTAGTGATGTGCGCTGACGCTGGAGTGACGGATGGTGGAAGGTGACAAAGAAGGGGCTATAGGGATGGTGCATGAACCAGTGGCTCGAGACGGGACAGGATGAGGAGAGAGGCTACTTACGCTGCTGTTCTCTCCTGTCCAGTGGACCATCGCCTGGTTGTGGGTCGCATCCCCTTTGAGCACGAACGAGCTGCTGAGCAGGGACATTTGTTTATCCCAGGACAGGGCTCTTCTGAAGCGGGGTGTGCTCCCCGCCCCGACTGCTTTCTGGCCCGGCAGGAAGCCTCTTTCTCCGCCGTTCAAGTCAAACGTGCGATCCTCCCAGCCTCGCCGGTTTAAAGCCACGCTGCCACAGCGCACGGGTCCCGGTAGTGCCATCCAGGCCGAGACGGTCAACAGAAAGACGCAGAGGTACGCAGCGGCTGAACCCGGTTCTTCGGGACGGAGAGGTGCCATGCTTTACGCCGTACTAGCGCCCGTAACGCGGAGACTGATGAAGAGACTGCTGATGCTTGTGGGAGATAGATAGGTGTATACTGTAAACCGAGGAAGAGAGAGTGAGGGAGGGATAGAGGGAGGGGAACTGGAGCGAAGTCAGACAGTGAGAACAACGTGGACGAGTCTCGGTGCCAAGTACGAACCACAGGACGATGCAGCGGTGCCATCTGCTGTCCTGCAGCTGTACTGAGCTCGCATCACTCCATCCATCTAAATAAAGAGTTCCAACATGAGGGCAGCACTGCCTAAAATCACTGCCGTTATTTTTAACAACATTGTGTGTTTCTTGTTGGTTTCACACTGAATTCGACCGTGATCAGTGTCACAGTGATCCACAACTGACGTAGTGGTGCAGTGGTTTAGTCTTCGCGACCTTCGTATGCTTATCTGCTGATGTCAGGGCATAGACTGATAATCAGCAACTCCTGATGGTCACTTAGTAACATGCTTAACCACTGTTGAGTCTATAGCTTTTTTGTTCGGGTGGGAAATATGCTGAAAATACATTTATGTATTAAACTTACATACACACTGACATTTTCTGAGTTAGATGTAGTTGCTTATTGCTTATCTGTTTTATTCTATTTGTTATATTTATGAGTACCATGGACATGTTTAGTAACTTTGTGTCAGATAAAGTGAACGGGGTTGAATGAGTTGGTCATACGTTCTAATTTATATTTATTTCTTTAACTTATCTTTTTCTTTAATTTAACTGATAGAAACAATAAAATGACCTTAAAAAAAGCATGCGTGACATCCGTCCCTCTGTGTATTGGTTGCCAGCTGGCCAAAGGGTCAGAGTTCACATTTGATCTCACAAAGTAATAGCTCCACTCCCTGCATCCGTTCTCGTATCCAATTACACTTGGAGGCAGAATTAAACTATGACTCGGTGGTTTTGTAGTATTTGGGGTTATATGTAAACAAGAGTTCACCTTTACTTTCAGATTACATGTTTTTCTAATATAGCAGGTATTATTTTTGCTCATCATAGAGTTAAATCCATAAAAACACTGTACAAAATCAAAAAGCTTAACATGTTTTTATTAGTCTCAGGGTTTGCTTATAAAACTGAAGGGTTTAACTATGGTAACCTTAGTAACTGCCATTTCAGTGCGGATTGATGTAATCAAATGAAAACATGGAACATTTTGAGAGTGATTATAGTTCCATGAGAATTACCGTCCCAATTTCTTTACAAAACTGTGGGCCTATAAAACCCTGGGTCTACTGGTTTGCGGCTCTAGGTATATAAAAATGAAACTCCATTGAATATCAGTTTTGCCTGTGGATTTCTTCCTTCAAACCAGGCTTTCCATGATCAAAAGGGGCGTTCACCTGTAATTGTAAAGCATCCAATATGAATCCTTGCTATTTAAAAATATCTGTCATTTGTCAAAGTTTCTAGATGCCACAAGGAGGGAAAGTCCAGTTTGCGCCCAGAATTACAAAGTGTTTAAAGAATCTCAAGTTACTAAATATTGTGAAGTAAAGGCCCAACAATATTATAAACAGAACCTCAGGGATAGGATAATCTCTTAGTAGCAAGCACTTTGCAACAGTGGGGAACAAGAACTCAATTTTAACAGTAAAAGGCCTAATCAGAAAGCTGCTAAAGGAGGGGAAGTCATCTTCTCTGACTGGTTGTGGGGTGCGTGGAAAGACAAGAAAGAAAAGGAGAGCATAGAGACAGCAGGAACAATAAATATGATTATATTACAAAAACAAAAAAAGTTCAATAAGTAGCGATAATTAGAGGGAATTTAATGTGATTTATTGATGTACAGAATTCAGTTTGAAGTTTTTGGCAATTAGACTCCGATGGCCCATCACAGCAGAACAGAATCCCAGGAGTGATTGGAATTAGAACAAGACTCCTTGGAGTCTAGACGCTGGTGATAGAGATGACGATGGAAGTTTGAATGGAGCCTGAGTGACCAGTGAGAGATGGTAATGGGGAAGAGGTGGATTGCACGAAGGCAACTGCAAGGGAGAGTGACAAATGTGCAGTGAGATTTAAAGGTCTAGACGATTGGACTAGACCCGGGATGTCACTATCAGCTTGACAGCATGGGAAAGTACAAGTGATGTAAAGCTTAGATTAGCCACCAACATTAGCCACCTTATTGCTCGTCTATCCCAGTTTGTATGTTTCTGTGTGTGCATGTGTATCTGAGTATGTTGGTTATTGTGTAGCAGCGGGACTCAGTTAAGATTTCCCAACTTTTGGTTCTGGATACTTGCTGGCAATCATGTACCTGTGTTGATCTTGTTAAGAGCCGCAACTTAGGGGAGTGGCTGAGCTTCAGTCAGTGCTGGATTGTTGAAGGACTACTGTCAGTGTAAATATGGTTATGGTATTAATTTATGGTACTGCATGTGTACAGGAACATGTAGCGAGAGTGGAGAGAAAATTGTAAATACTGAGTAAGCTGAAGTGGAAAGCAGCCTTGTGAGAGGAATCACTTGCACCTGGGATTGGGATCTTGTGGACCTTTTCACGGTACTGAAGGATTCCTGCGCTTGGGTCCCTGCTTTGCCTCACAGCAATTCTGACACTTTACTTTCTTTAAGAACAGACCTTTAACATTTTTAGGTTTTATTGTTACACACAGAATTGATTTGCTTTATATAAGCTTTCCTACACAATTTAACAAATATTCACTTTATACATAATCATTACACATTTCATGTCCTTTCCATTGCTTTGTTAATAAGCAATAATCTTATATTTACAGTTGTATGAAAGAAAGTTTTCCCAGAACTCTGTGCAGTCCTGTGAAAAACTAGCTACAGCCTGTTTCCACACTGGAAGTTGTTGCTGCTTCCATAGGAATTGAGATGGTGAATAGCAGCCAAGTGCTGTTAATGAAATGCGCTTGATTAACTGATCATCAGCAAGTGTGATAATCTCTATAAAGGAGCAGGGTTTTTTGGCAGGTTGCTGGCCTGGTGCATTTGGCTGCATGTTAATGCCACAGTGTTCCCAACAATGGATGTCCCAAAAGACTGTTAATAATCAGAGAATTTGCAAAAATCCCAAATTGTAAGAGACTGGTAGAGTCACACAGCTCTACTTCCTGGCTGTGGCTCAGAAGGTAGAGCAGGTCACCTACTAATTGGAAGGTTGGCGGTTTGATCCCCATCTGCTGTGGTCCGCATTGGACAAGCATAGAAAAAAATGTTTTTGTGAATGAGGCAAGTTGTAAAAGTGCACTGTTAAGAGTAGAAAAGCATTATATAAGAACCAGTCTGTTTACCCTTTACAAAAATAATTACTTTGAGTTAATACTGCTGGTGGGTCAACAAGCTAATGAATTTTGGGCTTTAGTTACAACTATAAATATAGTTATAGTTGGTGTCATGTATCATGTATGGTTTGCATACATGATATAAATCTGTATAAGCATTCTTGCTTATTCAGATGTTTTATCTGTAATTGTGTTTTCATGTTTGTAAGATGTCTAGCAATATCTTGTTCTTACCAGAGACTCAGGGATGTTTAGATTTAGGAGGAAACAGACAAGATTATGTTTACCGGGGGCAACTGTGGTTGCATAAAGGATTTCTGCATGTGCAGAATTCAGGAGGGAAACTAGCTTCGTGTTCCTTTGGTGGATCACCGGCATCAAGTTTTACGGTCTTTCTCTCTGGAATTTGAATTTTCTTAGATATTTCTCGGATGTGCTGGTGTACTCTCACAGTCCAGTGACATGAATGTTAAAATATTTTAGTGGTTCTCTACAGATTTTTAGGCACATTCCAGTTAAGAAGCCAAAAACAGTTCATGCTACACCCCATGACTTTTGTCAAATCAATTCAACTTTGTTAATATAAGCTCGAAATCTCAACAACAGTCATCTCAGTTTTATTTGACCTCATCACTTCATTTTTCACCACGTTCTCTGCACTGTAGTGGACATGTGGACGCTGCACTGAGGCTCACTGGGTTAATCTGTGGTTCTGAACAGTCCTTAAACTGGTTGTTTTGCTACGACTCGCAGCTTGTCATGGTTCAACCTGACTCTCACCCAGTGTCAGCTTGGTTAGACATAAGCATCACCAAAAAGATACTGAAAAACAAACAAGGCATTTCAAAGATCTAACACCAGTCAATCACAAGGATTCATTTTTGTAAACCATACCTTGTTGTTCTTTTTGTAAGGTATAAAAGATCCAATGAGAAAATCACTTTTTCTATAGTTTTGAAGATTTACATATACAGGATACCCCAAAAAGAATGTGATGTGATACCTTAAGAGTCTGATCATAAATAAGATAGCCACATCAGTGTAAACATACTTGATATGAGCTCTGTCTTTTAAACATCTGCAAAATCATATAGAAATTTCAAACAGCATCTCTGTGACCTCTTAGCAAACTCAGTTTGGTAAATATTTCACGGCCTTCGTTGATAGTTGTCTGTGGCATCTCTGTGTGTATGTGATCACAGATGAGGAGTATGGATTAGTGAGGCAGGTCTTGCATCATTTGAGCACAGAGACAGCTCAAGGGGAGGAGAACCTTGGACTGCAGAAGCCCAGCTTGTTAGCATGCTCCTGAGCTGCTCCTGAATGTAGCTTTGTTCATCATGAAATTTTCATGGATAATTGGATGTTATGAAGATTAATGTGCTTTAGTTTCACAGGGCTGCAGGAGAACTTTGAAAGACTTTGACACTCAACACCTTCCAGGGGATGTCTCTGGCCTTTTTAGCAGATACGTGACATGGTCTTACCTTAATAACTCAGCTTGATGAACTAGGTCCTTTCACTCACATCATGGCAATTTGAGCCAGCGGTTCGACAGCGTCTGCATTGTGCTGTGCTCTCCACATGCCCCGGAGGATCTGCAGTCTAACTTCATTGTAATTTATTGCAATTAAGGAAGGCACAGAAGCAAAACTAATTGTACATTTCACTCTCATTACTAACATTTCCTTCTGTTCACTGTAGACTGTAATATATTTAATCATAAATCAACCAGAAAAACATTCCACATATGAGGCTCCTTGGAGTAAAATCTCGTGTGTTTCAAATTATGTTTGGGAGTTAAAGAGGTTAGGAGGAAATGCGGGAAAAAATATTAGATGTAAGGATGAAAAATGCTTTCTCTTGAATTTAGTTTTTCTTTACTGATTGTGCATTCT